TTTTTAGTGTGAAGTTTCTTCGAAACTTCACAGTATTGTGATGACTGGGGGGAAATTCACACGAATCAGTCAGTCATTCATTCATTCAGTCATACAGTAAACTTTCCGGGGGGTGTATACGATATATGTTCGTAGTGATTTATCGTACTTAGTCAGTGCTTTGAAGGTTATTTAGGCAATTTCAGTTAACTTATTTACATATTCTGTTATCCTTTTGCCAAGTTCACAAAATTATCGAGGAATCGCTTTCGTTATTGTAATTTTTTGTAAATTTTAGAACATTCGCTTCACATGTTGTGTAAAGGATCTTTACCCCGGAACACCCGATTTTTTCTTTAGTAGCGCAAATGCGCATGCGCTATCAAGCCGTAGATCACGATGGCGTGACGATATGCTAGGAAGGGGTGACAGTGTTGTTTTCAGATTTATAAAGATTTCAGACGTGAATATTGAATAAATCTTTGAAAATCTACGCAATATATATATTGATCTTATGCATTACGGGCGTTCAATTAAGTGCCGATAATATTTAGACGGTATATTCATTATACAGAGCTAGGAAGGAGCTAGACCGCCTAGACAGTCAGTGCAGTCAAGTGTGTAAACATTTCAGACGTAAATATTGAGTCGAATATCTTTATTCTAGGCATTCATTTAAGTGCCGATATTATTTTCACGATATTCTCATTATACAGAGGTACAGTACGTAGGCAGAAGCGAGACAGTGTTGTTTTCAAGTATATAAAGATTTCAGACGTGAATATTGAGTAAATCTTTGAAAATCTACACGTCACAATATATAAATTGATCTTATGCATTACGGGCGTTCAATTTAATAAGTGCCGATAATATTTAGACGGTATATTCATTATACAGAGCTAGGAAGGAGCTAGACCGCCTAGACAGTGCAGTTAAGTGTATAAACATTTCAGACGTAAATATTGAGTCGAAAATCTTGATTCTAGGCATTCAATTGAGTGCCGATATTATTTTCACGGCATACTCATTATACAGAGGTACAGTACGTAGGCAGAAGCGAGACAGTGTTGTTTTCAAGTATATGAACATTTCAGACATGAATATTGAGAAAATCTTTGAGATTCTACGCAATAATACAATATATAAATTTATGTTATGCATTACCGGCATCAATTAATATGTAAGTGCCCATCGATATTATTTAGACCGTGTATTCATTATACATTGTCATTGACTGTATAAGGTGCTACATCGCAGAATAGATGGCTACACTCAGTATAAAGAGCGAAAAATTGCATCAGATCTGTACCAGATCAATAAAGCATAAACAACTATTCAACGGGTAAACGTTTGTACGGCGTTTACGAGGAAAATAACTTGCGAGACTAAAGAAATCAGTTGAGTCAGAGCTCCTTATTTAAATAAGAAAGACGAGGAGATGGCCAATGTGTTATCGCCAACGTGTTATCGCCAATCGCTTGGCTCGCCAACAAGCTTTATGCAATAGAAGAAAAAAGCGAGGAGGTACATGTAGCCAACGTGTACTGTCACGGACCTTCTCTTTGTTTACTGTCTAGCACAACGCCGTTGTCAACGGTGCAAACTCGTGTTCAGTGCGACGATAACTCTACCAGATCTTACGAGAATCAATCTGTAGTATTCTGTACACAGAACTGTATCAAAGCTTGTCAAACCTGCTTTAATTTAAACACTGCTTAACTGTGAAACTATTGAAATCTAAAGTGACATTAATGTATTCAACACATGCGAAAAGCTGAAAATAGACGTGACACTGGGAAAAGTCAAAGGTCAATGAGACTTGTTATTGTGAAGCATGTCACAATTAGGTTAAAATGCGGAAGCGGATGGAGCGGATCCACGGAACGAATATGCGGACAAAATACGGAACGGATGGGGATAAAAGCGTCCTTTTAATGATGTAACGACGTAGTGCTTATTATTCATAACATATCTTATACAGCTATTTCAATTATAGTTTTAGATAAATTTAGCATAGCAGTAGCCTCGTGCGGATGCTTTTAGCGACAGCTGCAAATGCAAATGCAAATGAAAATTCAGTATATGCAAAATTTGGTTGTTGGTGAAACAATTTAAATTTCGAATTGTCGCGTGTAGCATCACAATAAATAGATAAATTGCATCAGTTTCACAAGGCACGTTTCTGATGTGTTAGGCTTGTTTCAAACGTCACGCCACTCGTGTGCCGAGCGTATTAAAAGCAATAAATAATGAGATGAAATGCCTTTGGTAACTGTTTATTTCGTAGTGTAAGCCATCAGCTTTTCTAGGTTGTCGGCGACCCTATATAGTTCTTGCAGTGTCTTTTTCAATTTGAAACTTCACACTATCCTTGGATCCCTAGTTTATTATACAATCGGCCCCTGACACTGTCACAGCATTATAATTATTCACGGCAGCGAGTGAGTAGAACCACTGTCAATATTATCATGGTTTATTTTTCTAATGTAAGTATAAGAGAATCCGTTACTCATTACTCACAATATACAAACACCCATTGGAACCCAACTATAAAATATTATACCAATTCTTAATTTGTTTGCAATTAAGTAATATTATAAGGCCATATAAAATAAACTTCTTGATTCTCATCACCGCCCGACGATATTTTGGTTTCCGCCTTGATATATTTTTGTATTTTGTTATAAAATATAAATTTACCGCCCGACCGAGCATCTTTAGAGATTTAGTTATTTTTATATTTTATATTGGAATTTTTGCGATATAAAATTGTTTTATCGTTTATAATATTGCAACATGTTAAGGGATGCTTGGAATACTGAAGGAAAAAATGGGCTTATAGCCTTATTACAACGATTTGTTTGGACCCTTATGCATGTTCATTAGCGCATGTGCAATTATCCACTTATATAGCGTTCTTCTATAATATATTTAAGGCAAATATAAAAAGACCTCCCTCTCCAATTTTTTAAATTTTAAACTTTTTTTTAATATTTTGACATAAAATATAAAATATAAACTTCCCGCCTCCTGGGAGTTTTTAAAATTTAGCGATGAGAATCAAGGAATTTATTTTATATGGCCTAAAACACATTTATATGTATCAATTACATAGTTCGAGCCGTAGTAAACAAAGGGGAAATCCCGCTTACGGGGGGTTGGTCCATTACAATAGCATACCTAACTTATGCGAGGCTTACAGAGTAAACTAAAAGCGCTAAAGACAAGCTGATTCTTTTAAATAATGTGTAATTTATCAGGGAAGAATGAAAAATAATATTTAAAGGATATGATAATTTTTGGCTGAGATAGAGCGTTTTCAGTATGCTGGCTTGTCGACTGCCCTGCGGTAAGTGTCAATATGTAGCGGTTCGACGACTCGTCTTGTGCAAGCTGTTCAGTCAAAGTTTAAATCGGTATAAGCTTAAAAATAATTTCATATGATGCGAATATTATGGGTAAAGAATGAAAAAAAATATTATGACGATAAAGAAACTTGTGGCGGAGAACGAGCGTTTTGAATCGCTAAGCGGCACGCGTGTTTGCAGTCTCCATCAATATGTCGCGGAGCGATTACATAACTTATGCGAGGCCTCCAGAGGAAACTAAAAGCGCTAAAGACAAGCTGATTTTTTTAGATAATGTGTAATTTATCAGGGAAGAATGAAAAATAATATTTAAAGGATATATTAATTTTTGACTGAGATAGAGCGTTTTTAGTATGCTGGCTTGTCGACTGACTGCGGTAAGTGTCAATATGTGGCTGTTCGACGACTCGTCTTGTGCAAGCTGTTCAGTCAAAGTTTAAATCGGTATAAGCTTAAATATTATTTCATATGATTCGAATATTATGGGTAAAGAATGAAAAAAAATATCATGACGATAAAGTAACTTGCGGCGGAGAACGAGCGTTTTAAATCGCCAAGCGGCACGCGTGTTTGCAGTCTCCATCAATATGTCGCTGTTCGGTGACATAACTTATGCGAGGCCCCCAGAGAAAACTAATAGCGCTACAGACAAGCCGAATGCTTTAGGTGATGTGGAAATTATCAGTGAAGAATGAAAAAAATTATTCTAGCGTTACATTCATTCCTTACGACGATACAGCGATTTAGATAGGAACTAACCATGTCTTGCTCAAGATTTAATTGACCCGACACGGTTTGGCGACTTGGCTTATGCAAGCTGTTTAGAGCAATCTAGAAGCAGTAGCGACTCAGTGATTGCGTTATATGATAGTCCTTTTCTTGGCGAAAAATGAAAAAAATTATTGTTAGGATGGGTGAAGGCTTTGTGGAGTTAGAGCCATTCGAACACGAACGCCATGCCTCTGGCTCCAGATTCAATCTGAAACTGGAGCTGCGAATCTGAAACTGGAGCTGTCTGGCTTCTCGTTAGAGCCGCATTAGTCGAATAAAATATTGTCCGTTTGATCAATTCCATCAATGGTGTCCGTCGATATATACGTACTCAACTTTCAAACCAGGCACTGACACTGTACTGCTGTACACGCGACGGCAACGAGACTGGCTCGCGACGTTGACATGCCCTTCGCATAGATTTTATATAACACTAAACGTATACACAATAAACTCGCTTTTGATGCGTTTAATCGAGATAGCAAATGGTGGCAACTTTAGGAATGTTGAGTGTTGACACTTTATAGATAGGAGCAAGTTAATTGAAACCTTACGTATCTATAGGCCTTGTCACACTATTGCGTATCGTACTAGCGTATATGCCAGCGTATGAAAAATATCACTCATACGCCGGTATACGCTGACATACGCTAGGGTACCTTAGGCTTAGTTAGATTGTATACGTTTCAAGCACGGTTGCATACGGTGGCATACGCTGGCATACGGCGAGGCAGAAATTTTTTTTTAAGCATGCTCAAAAATTTTGTGCGTATTCGGACGTATGGTTTATACGATAAGCATACTCTAGGCACACGCTGAATACGCTAGAGGTACACCAGATGTACGGAACTCATACGCTGGTATTTCAAAGTATTTTTGTGCGTATGGAAATTATTTCATTAACTCCATACGCTTCTCATACGTTTTTCTCATACGCAATAGTGTGACAGGGCCTTAAATTCTATCTATTTGTCTCAAAATAAATAGCCCACACGCAGTCTCGTGACATCGATCAAACGACGTATGAGGCATGAACTCAAACTCGGGCAACGAAATAAAAGACTGTTACATGTAATTAGGATTCGATAAAACTTGACCAGACAGGAGATCAGACCAGTTCAAATTTTTGTCGGACGTGATCAGACACTGATTATTTATAATTATAGGAATTTACAGAGGAAAGTTGTACAGTACATTGCATTGTGATTATTTCACCTGTATACTATTATTTAAATAGAAACTCAATATAACCATAGTTAATATGATATAACATAGCAATTTACCGGTGATCAATTGAAATTCCCCGCCCTTTGCGGGTGTAGAGTCTGGGCGTACTGGTATTCAATCAACACCCCTTCTTACCAGTTACACCTAAATTCTTCCTTTAACCTGACGCCTCTCCAAGAATTTCGTTTTCGTTCGAAGCAGGAAGTTGATTGTTATTTGTATACACTTGACTTTTTTCTTTTAATTGATTTTCCTTTTAATAATATAGGGTTTGGCTTGACCTTTGTCAATGTTATATAAATGATCGAGTTCATTAAGTGTTTTGTTCAAACAGTGTCAGCTACAGTCAGTGTGCGAAGAACTCTTTAGATTTTAACACTTTTTTATTTACACCGAGGTATGTTCATGGTGTTACATTACATGTGTAGAATATAGGGTTGTGAGTATTTATAGGCACACGTGTCTACTGTCTAGTGACTTACGAATACTGTCACGAGATTTCAGTATATTGTTTATGTATTGTGTTTTCCTGAACATGCCACCAATTTTCTTTGGCGAACAATTCTAGTGAATTTTTACTTGTTTCTTTGTATAGTGATTACATTTGGTAGGAATCTTCAAGATTTTTTGCGATGTCGGACGCAATCGGAGAGGAAACAGATAATATGGAATTACAACCACTTGTATACGAGAACGAAGGTAATTATATTCTATATCCTGATCACCTGCATACGATGAAGTCAATATAATCCCCTTTAGGCTTTAAAGTCTAACTCAGCTGATTAATATGGTTTAGGGAAATTGTATTCAACAAAGCCAATGAAACAGACCAAGAGTAATGAGCCCACAGATCATAGCAGTGATGAGTTTTTCGTTTTATCATTAAGCTAAACCGAAAACCGAGCGACAAAAATCGTGTGTGACCAGCCTGATTGGCAGATTGGCTGGTTTAATAAGCGTTTAACCACAATATGCCAAATTCACGGTTCAAAACTTCCCGTTATGATCGCCAACTATAGTCTATGGACATGCAAAGCACACCCTCGTATTTCGCACTGACATAAAATAGTCCGCAGTTTTTTCAGCAACTCGTGAGGCATTTATAGTCATCTTAACAGCATGCGATTCCCATTTATCACTATCTATCAAAACATAAAAGCAGCGGATTTCCAATTTCAACAATCTAGATTTTACAAACTTTCTTGCAACATAATTAAGAGGAATTTCTGTCTGTTTTAAGCGGAAATTACAACTATACTTTATGCCGGAACCTTACACACGGTTTTACATAAATATTAATGAAGAGGCGTTCATTTTATCTTGCAAAATCGAAGTGAACTTTGATTTGGACAAGTACTGCTTTCGGAAATCCGCAATGTTAAACATTGACAAGCTGTTCAAAATTAAGAATTTCACTTTCAGCAAGATTTTTAAATAAAGGACCAGTATTTTAATTCGTCATAACTTACCCGTACAACTCTTTTCTGTAACACAATATCAGAGATTTCAGTGCTAAATTGCTAATATATCACAATTTGACGTCTAAATTGGGCCTTAATTATTATTACAACATTTTTAAATTTAGATATTATAGCTCAACGCCCCGAACGTGAAACAAATGGCGGAATAAAATCACCACGAGATCACACTGTTCCACCAGACTCAGTAGATGGAACGCAAAACAATGGCCCAGTCGAAATCCCCGAGATATTTTCACCGGGAGTAGGCGATACATACATTGTTCCCCTGCCTACTTTGGCATCAAATCCTCGACCTCGACCAGGTACTGAACGTAGACAAAGACGCTACCCTGGCATGGATGAGACTGATTATGAAGGTATTAAAGACCCCACTACAGATCATGAAGATGAACAGGAGCCTAGAAATTCAGGTCTTCATCCATGTCAGACTGAAGGAATGGTTGAGGCATCTTTGAGCCCAGATGATGCAACAACAGCGAGGTGTTTTCTGTCCAAGTCAAGCTATCTTCAGAAGAAATGCAATGAACTCTTTTTTGCTGTTTGTTACCACCAGAAGGAGAAAATGGATGAAATTTTGAATGGTGGTGAGTGGGGAACGTTTTTATCGGTGTATCAGTGACGGTGATAGATTGTAGTAGTGCCAATGTTGTTGTTGTTGTTGTTGTTGTTGTTGTTGTTGTTGTTGTTGTTGTTGTTGTTGTTGTTGTTGCTGTTGCTGCTGCTGCTGCTGCTGTCGAATATTGCAAACTAATAAGAAAACTTAATAAAAATCATTGAATTGTTTCTTTTGATTACAGAAGAATCCAGCACACTGGTTAAATTATTAACATGGCCAGATACAAATGGTCGACCATGCATCATGCAAGCCATCACCAGACAAAGTTTAAATTGCATTCGACCACTTTTGGAGCATTTAAAAACACTCGATTTTTATTCTTTCGGAATGAACAAAATGGACGCCCTTCAATCACAATGCGACGGGAAAAACATTTTACATGTTGCTGCACAGATGGTACGACTAGATCAAGAAATAATAAACGCCATAGATATTGATCTTATAATGAACGGGCTTGCCGACAATGAAGATATAAATGGCACAACCCCCCTGATCGTGGCTTGTCAGTATAAGAATGATTTCGTGGCTCAAAGGCTGGTGAGTGCAAGGGCGAGGATTGATCATGTCGATCATAATGGAGATTCTCCTATATATTTGGCCGCCGCCCGTGGAAGCGACGAAACATTGAAACTTTTCCTCCGCGAAGGTGAGTTTTGAAACTTTAGTTTATGCATGCAACTCGCACCCCAGGGGCCGGTTGTTCAAAGCTGGATTAGCGCTAACCCTGGGTTAAAATTAAACCTGTTTTTGTTTGTGTATTTCTACACATCTATTTGTTTTGAACTTTAGAGAAGAAAACTCCAGCAACCGGCTCCTGATGAACTACAATCTTAATGAACATAGTTGAGCCCTTTCCTTTATACAAAATTCACACACCCCTCGTGATAAATTCCATGTCTGTAATATCATGTTGCGCTTCGTAACCCCCTTGATTCCCCCAACTCAATGTTGAGCTTGTGTCATGGTAGATTACCAAAAGTTGTTTCGGCTCTGTTGAATTGTTTTGGGCAGTCAAGAGCACACGAAGAGACAGCGGGAATTAAAGGGCAGAAAAGTTACAAAATATAGGCATTATAACATTGAAAGTTTGTTATTTTGAGCAGATTACAGTCTTAAAATGTTTTGGATGAAATACTCTCTGATCAACCTTGCAAGTTTCACTTTTATTCACTTTTGCTATTCTTTTATATTTTTTTTATCAGGGCTCCACTGAAAATCACTTTCATGAGTGGACCCCCCTCCTAAATATTGTAATTATTATTATTAAGTGCTGTATTATCGCGCATGTATATACAGTACTTTTTCGCTACAAAATGGCGGTGTCTAGTTTTACCAAAAGTATTGAACAAAGCCGACGTAATTACGTTAATTGACGAATAAAATCTTCCTTTACAAAAACGTTCTATTTCTGGCTCTGCTAATTTAATGTTGAGGCTAGCGAGAATTGGCTACAAAGAGTCTTTGTGGTATTAATTAAACTAATAAGTCAAATAAATTCACAAGCCAAACGTTGTCAGATGGCACTCTTTAAGAAGAGTTTGTTTGGGGCATATACAGTTCCACGAAAAGAGATAAGTGTTCTTTCTGCGAATTGTCCTGTAACCAAGCTGTCAATTTTTGGATTTAATGAATATTCCGCGAACCCCAGCAGGTGGTTTCAGATTACTAAGTATTTTAAATTTTGAATCACAATATGGCGAGTTGTACACAAACGACATTGACAATATCAATCCTATTGAGTGATTGGATAAAAAAAAGTCGGCAGAAAAAGGTATATGGATGACATCAAGGAAAATGTCTGTGCTTTACTGAACAGTGGTGGAGGAACGTTGATATTGAAAGCCCAAGCAGACGAAAATATATTGGCGAAAGATTGCTTCAGATCTGACGATGTAATCCGTGCAGTAGAACAGATATTCCAACCAGTAATAGGAACTGCTTGTGTGAACTCGCATCTCTCAATTGGCAACGAAACACCGGATGAGATTGTTTTAAACGTGCAAGGGTTTAAGTCGCTGTGTACTTTAAGTTACAATATGTTTCTGCCAACTGATACACAAGTCCTGCCTATAAAGTGTGACGAGTTGGCTACTGTTATTGACTTGATGAATATTAACCGTTTTATCGATGTAACCGATTTTGAAAATGCCCGTTCAATTGATCAATTCGTTCATAATTCGGTTTTTCGTATTAAGGAGTCTAAGACGGCGCAATTCAAATGCTTGAGATCAGAAAAGACAAAACATAACGACCTTGGAAGTCGGATTATACACAATAAATTCATGACGTACGTTTCGGCGTTTGCCAACCATATTGGAGGGCGGATTTATGTTGGAATCGACGACAAAACTGGTCGTGTTGTCGGAGAAACCATTACTGAAGCCGAGCAAAAAGACTTAGAAATGAAACTACAGAAACATATCGAAAAAATGTTGTGGCCTGAATATTGTACGCCTCCTGTGAAAGGTAAACAATGGGATATCAGTTTTCACGCAGTCATCGGTAGCGACGGCTGTCCAGTCCAATACGTCTATGTCATAGTGATAACAATTTATGCTTCGTCAGGCGGTGTTTTTGTTAAAGCGCCTGAAAGTTACCATATTGTTCAAATCAGAGCTGAAGAATCTGAAAGTTCTGAAATTCTTGAGAATAAAGTTCAGCCCATGGATTTCACGAAGTGGAAAAACAGATTACTCTACCCCGAAGGTCAAAGAGGTATCCCTCGTACATTATCGAGATGTGACTGGAGCTCAACTGAATTGAGGAAAGAATGCGATGCATTAGATGGAAAACTGTTACGGCTTATAAACTACGGCAAGTGGCGGGATTTTGAACGAGAAGCGGAAAAAAATCGGCCGAAAGCAGATGACCCTAACAGAATCGAAATCGAACTGGTGCTGTTATCCAAATGGTATGTCTACCATTACAGAAAGGGCGAAAAAGATGATTTTAAAAGCGCGGATAACGTTATGGTGGAATTTAACGAGAAATTTTGCAAGTCGAAGGATAGTTTGATATTTCAAGTTAGGGGACGTCTTTGTCTCTCTGCATTGCAACGCACTCGCGGAGACCACGAAGGAAGCTATAGAACAGCAATGGATTGCCTCTCTGATGTAGAGAAGTTATCCCCTTGCATCCTAACTGCGGAGTTTTACGTCCACTTTGCGACCATGCTTACGATTATCGAAGGGAATGAGGTGCTTCGAGGCAAACTAAAGGGGGATCTAAGCCAAAATTCATTCAAAGAGGAAGCGATGGTATTTTATAATAGAGCGCTCGAACATTTACGTAGGATTAGCTACGTCCCGTTATCAAAAGCAGACATGCAACAGAAATCTCATATAAACATGGCGATCCTGAAGTTAGGCTGCTCCTTATCTGGCGATGTCGTAGACGAAGCTGTCAGCAAGGAGGCAATCGAAGCCGCAAGCACTTGTCTCAAACGTGTTAACGAGTCCATAGTCCAAGATGGCAATTCTCTGAGTGGTTTTAGATCGTGTCATCATAAGTTCGCCACCTCGAGTTTGCACTACCGACGTTCGCAACATGAAACGCTGATAGATAAGCGTATGGGGCTACTAGAAAGTGCCATTCAGGCTGCCGAAGAGGTCGAGTTTCTCGCCACAAAACGTAAATTTCATGAACTCTCGAACTATGCACGTAAACATGCCCAGGTTTATACGAATGAGTTGGAACAGCTACAAGCAAAGTCTTGCGAAGATTGAGAAACTTTCACAGCATTCCTGCTTCGATAGCGCATGACGTCACGTGACGTCACTACTTGTTAGTGTGCGCTATCTTGGTTGGTTCGCTGTTGTAGTGAAGTAGTTGGCTTTATTTCCTAATTCCTGCTTTATTGTAAGCTGAATTAGGAACTGCTGAAAATGGCAGTTTTAAAACACAAGTATTGTTGTATTTGTACACATAGCAATCTCCTTTTTTTAATTATTAAGATGAATATTAAGATAAAATTATTAAGATAAATTTTTGACGTGTTTCTCAAGCAGAAAACTGAAACATGCCATGGCCTATCGAAGGGGGAGATGGCCGTGAAACTCATTAGAATAACAATATAACTCATTATCTATGTTGGTCAACGTTTATTCATAAATCTGGTCCTTCACCGTCACGTGTGTATTGTATTAGCAATAGCAATGTTTTAGGAAAGTTATACATATCCGTGACTCGAACAATAGTGTAAATTGGAAATTGCTATTGGTGGATTTGGCAGAAATACAACACACACGTGACGGTGAAGGACCATATATATGAATAAACGTTGACCAACATTGATAATGAGTTATATTGTTATTCTAATGAGTTTCATAGCCATCTTCCCTTCGATAGGCTATGGTCATGCTTTATCAGTGTACAATTATGCTAAAATGAAGAGATTTTATATGGTGCGCCAAAGAGAAAATGATGTCTGAAGTTCAGTAAGTTTTGCTTATATTGCTGTATAAATATGGCGTCAATTTTACAGCATCAACGATATGATTGTATTAATAAAACATCTATCTACCTATCGAAACTAATCTTCTGCACATTTTTAAGGTGCGCAAGTCACGACCAATCAACTGGACATTTTCAAAAAGCGCGAACTATACCATAACAAAAGCACAATACTTCAGGCCATTCTGAAAAGTCGAAGCCCAAAAACATTACAAGTCTGCCTGGATATCGATAACGGCAGGGATGCCATCTTGGATTGTTTGAGACAAGAGCTGGTTTCGGACCGAACTTTCATTCACGCAGTCTGTGAAACGCCACTGGTCAGTCTGGTTGAACTGGCTATTGAGGATAACGAACACGTTTTGGAGAGTCTGGACAACGATGACGTCACACCTTTAATGAAGTAAGTGGTCGGTGGTGAATTTAAGTGAGTGAGGTTAAGGCGTTTAGTGTACACACGTAAAAACGCACAAGTTGTAACAAACCTGCAGCAGAATTGTATCAATGTTGTTCCAACAACACGTCAACAGGATGTGTTCGCACTGCTTGTTCCCAGCTTGTTGACAACTTGCTACAAGGTTGTTGAGCTCAACAGACTTGTTTACAAGTTGTTCAGTCCAACAACTTGTTATCGTCTTGCAATTCAACAGTTTGTCAGCAAGTTGTAAGTGACAACCTTGGAGCAACTTGATAACATAACAGCATTGTTACAACTTGTTGACAAGCTGTATTGCCTGAAATCGTTCTTTTATTGACCACTTTCTCATTTGGTACTGTAGAGCTACCGAAGCAGAACAGCTTGATATAGTCGAACTCATTCTGAGTAAAGACTCTGGCAAGAAAACTCTGTCCTGGCAGAAGACGAGCACCAAAGAGACCGCACTTATGATAGCTTGTAAAAAAGGGTTTCATAAGATTGTCAAGTTTATCATGGAAAATTCAGATACAAATATGAATCTTGGCCAAAAGGATAAGCACGATAGCAATGTATTTCACCATGCGGCAAAACACGACAATCTACTGTGTGTTATGATTGATATTTGCAGACGTACGGTATGTATACTTTTAAAAAACTACCGTGACTTGTATCTTAGCTAGCTGAAACATATTCAAAATATTGCGAAGTTTTGAACCAAGGCCCTTACTACTAAACCCTTGATTCTTTTTTACTAATATTCAATAACGTTTCTTTAAAGGAGAAATATAAGAATTACAAAGATTATCTGAACTTGAAAGACAAAGTTGGTTACGTCGCACTACACCTTGCTGCAACAAGTGGATCATACAAAGTTAGTTCATGATTGTGATTAAGTTGTGGGGTGCGCTAATCAACCTTACTTGTAGCTGACAGCTAAGCTGGATTGCGAAGCACGCAGCTCAACCTGATTGAGTCAAAGGCTTCTAGGGCACCTCTAGCAGCCACCGTATGACTCATTTCCAATCGCTGATCAGTTAGGGTCGGACTGGAAAGGTCAGTTAGGGGCTGATCCAAATTCAGCCTGTCAGCATTCGCTAAGTGTCATGAGTCCGCAGCAAGAATCGAACCCACGATTTCACAGGTGAAAGGCGCTTGGTCTGACAGTAAGGCCTAAGGATTAGTTTTTGGTGGGGGAGAAAAACATCGAAGCACAAGAGAGAACCACAGGGAAGTTACCCAGCCTAAGTAAATCCCAACCCCCAGTGGTGTGTGTGTGGGGGGGGGGGACACGCCACCAGCTTGTTCTGCTCCAAAACGAAAACAAACAAAAAAGTGTAAATAGGAATTAGAAATCTATCGAAAGAGTAGTTATCAGTTATCAAAAAATAAAACATGTTTCTGTAATTTCAGAATGTGAAACTTTTATTAGAAAACGATGTACCATATGACACACTAAGCAGCAGTAGCAGAACAGCCCTGCACTATGCTGCATTTTCTAACATCGAGACAGTCGAAGCCTTGCTGGAATTTGTTAAGAATAAGATCGACAAGCCAGATGCAGTAAAGCAGTTTATTGATGCAGTGGATTCTAGACTACAGACAAGTTTACACATCGCTGCCTCCTTTGGAAAATGGCAGACGGTGTCCGTTTTGTTGGACAATGGTGCAGCCATAAAGTGGTATGAAGCTGGGAGCGATTTTAGTGCTAACCCTGGGTTAAAATTTAACCTGCTGTTTTAAGTTTATGTATTTCTGCACGTCTGTTTATTTCAAAATTTTAGAGAGGAAAAGTCCTACTGATCCAGACTGATTGCTCTATCATTTCTAAACTGTTCTCCGTTTCGGTCCAGTAGTAAAGACCATCTATTATTGGTCCAACGTTACTGCAGCAGGAAACTGAGTTGCCTGGAAAAAAACTCAATTAAGTGTTTGGTATAGACTGAAATTGGCAGCGCTTTTTGCGACTTAGGCAAAGTTATAATCAGGGGATAATTATATTGATCACGCTGATCGCAGAAGAAAAAGTGTATTCTCACTAACTTCATACCTTTTTCCTTTATAGTGACGAAGAAAATGAAACTGCTCTTCACTTAGCCAGCTTTGCAGGTTGCACAAAGACGGTAAAATTGTTGATTCGAAACCAACCGGCAATAGTGAAGCATGAGAATCGTGTCGGCGAAACAGCAGCCATGTTTGCAGCACTCGGCGGCCAGACGGAGGTGCTAAAAATCCTTTTCGACAATAAAGCAAAGCTCTGGGCTGAGAGTCATGGCAGTAGTGTCGAAAAGAGAAAGACATGCTTGGATTGGGCGGTTGAGAACAATAAACCGGATACTGCAAAAGCTATATTGGAACACACTAACTGGAAGGAGGTGGGTTTGTAGTGATTGGTTTCACTAAGAGAACCATCAGGGCGGATCTAGCTTCATCTGCAAGGAAGGGTGCAGGTTTTCCATGGGGTGGTGCATGAGGGAGCTTTATTGCCCACTTTCCTCTGCAGTCTGCAACACTACTATCCCAACATTACCATTATATGAGATTACCGAATATGCACTATGTTCGCCGTTCTGTAATGTTTTACATTATCTTTTGTATATAAAGTTCATGTCGGCTTTTTATCACTTATGCGTGACTGGACTGTTGCTCTAGCACAGTACAGTGCATTTGCTTGTTGAAATACAGTATATTTGAAAATATGTGTAGCATGCAGTGTAATTAATATTTCCTTTCAATTTATAGACAATGGAAAAATCAGCCTTTTCGCCAGATGGCTTATTGGCAATGATGGTGAAATCTATGCCAAATGTGGCGATAGATGTTCTCAATAAATGTGAAAAAAAGGAAAAGAATAAAACTGAATACGACTTCTTTGCTTTACAAACGAAAGGAGGTATTATCTTGAAGCATTTCTATTTTCTTATAAAAATATTGGGTAACGCTAATTACCGAAAATTACAATCCAAAGCTAAACAGAACATTAATCTTACTTAAACTGTGACTATAGGGCTGGTTTAGACTATCAAAGCTTCTGTGAACACAGTAGGAATTTTGCTTGGGTAAATTCGTTTTGAAGGATTTGTAAGAAATGTTTGAGCAAACTGATTCAGTGTTAAACACCGAATCAGTTTCTTCAAAACGTAGAATTTACCCATGCAAAATTCCTACTGTGATCACAGAAACTTTGATAATGTAACCCAGGCTTAAGGCTAGAAATATAATTACACGTAACCATCATAGAAAAAAGTGTAAACGTTTGTGGTAAATATTAGATTCGAATTGCTATCTATTACTATATTATTTTTTGGCAAATTCAATTACCTATTACGATTTTTGTAGAAAAGCCAAGTGGTGAGAAAAGAATAGACAATGTAACTGCCATGGAAGCGTTGGGGACGATGGCAGAGAACTCAAGGATTGAATGTTTAAATCATGCAGTGGTTCAGAAATTTATGGAACAGAAATGGTCACTTCGTGCTAGAAAGTGGTATTTAGGTTGTCTTTCTATCTATGCAACATTTCTACTTTCTTTCACGGCCTATATTTCGTTGTTTACTCAGGGTAAGTCCTAATAATCTGCATTTTTTGCCAGGGGCGGATCTGCGGCCTTATTGCCCACTCTACTCTGCACTCTACAACGCTACTATCTTATTTGAGATGGCCAAATGTGCATGTTCGCCGTTCTGTTACGTTTTCCATTATTTTTTGTTTATAAAGTTTATCTAGTATCGCTTTTTAGTCACGTATGCGTGACTGGACAGTTGCTGTAGCACAGAGCCATTGCACTAGAGAATACCTCGACAAATATCCAATTTTATAAAAACATGGATCATTCGAAGTTTCATTCAACACCATTCTTGCTACAAGCGTACCTGTTTTAATTTTAGGTTATGCATCAGATGCTCGTTGCATGATAATCTCGAGGATAATATGTTATGTCTTTGCCACTTTGAATATCATCAGGGAATTACTTCAGGTAAAAATAAGTTTTGTGTAGTAGGTTGGCAGATCGAAAGTTTCTTTTTACCCCGGTTGTGACGTCACCAGTGACGTCACGCGCATATTGAACCTAAGACCCAGATATACCGGACTCCATGCTGTTTTTGCTCAAAAAGTTTCGAAAACAAAATACGGGGACGTTGTAAAGGGTCTTAGGTTTAACTTTACGTAACTATATATATATTACTTAATTTTACTTTGCTTTGCTTTACTTGAGGATATGCTGATTTCTCATTAATATTGTAATACTTAATCCTATGTCCACAGGTATATCATCAAAAGTCACAGTATTTCAGAATAATATCCAACTATCTCGACGTGGTCATGTATATTTGCGTCTTCATATTTCTTCCGTACGGCAAGAAAAGCAACATGCAACTGCAGGCAGGTGCTATAGCCATTTTTCTCGGCTGGATAAATTTCACTTGGTTTTTAAAACGATCTTCAATTTATGGCATCTATATTATCATGACCAAGAAGATATTCTTCACGTTTATCAAGGTACGTAATCGATGGAAAAACAACGGCGAAATTTATACTAATTCAATAGCTAATTTAATTCTACTATGTACTCAAATATTGAAGACTAAAAAGCAACGTCAACAGTCATATGTCAATACAATATGTGAATCAATCAGTGTGACTATCTTGATCATTTTCCGATTTGTCGAGAGGCAAATGGTATCTCCAAAGAAAGTACATGTGCAGACAACATGAAACTTTAGACTGCAGAAAATTGCAGAAGCAGTTATCAAACTCGTGTCACAGAAGTGGTAAAGGACATGTGTGACAAAATGTTATCCTTTTGCAACGTTTTTGGCCAGGGATGTGTATTTACTTTTTTAAATGATATTTGAGGTTGGGTAAACATTTTTTTGACTTTTTAATGTTTGGATCAGCAAAATGTTTGTCAAGAACAAACATCCCTCTTCGGTGCCTCCCCCCCCC